GGGAGAGAACGTTCTGGTGAAGATGTGATGTGAGAGAGAGAAAGAGAAAGAGAGAGAGAGAGAAATAGACAGAAAGAGAGACAGAAACAGACAGAAAGAGAGACAGAAACAGACAGACAGAGAAAGAGGAGAAGGGGTCAGTATGTGCATTAGGAGAAGGAGCGATTGCAAAGGCAGGGGAGGATTTGCACTGGAGGGAAGGCAAGGGAAGGGAAGGGCAGACGGCGGACGGCAAGGGAGTCGTAGAAAGGGAACAATAAGGGAGGGGGTCGTTATGGATAAGTTGGCAAAAATGTCCGGTTGATAGGGAAACGATTTAACGAAGGGTTCGGTTAATGGCGGTAGATTACGTTAGGGATCAGCCAAAAGGCCTGGGAGGTTTACAAGAGATTTTGGAGAATTGAGAAGTAGACTGAGCCGAGGATAAGGGAGCGGAGTAGATTAATGAACCGGGAGTTATATCTGGCGATGCAAGGCTTTCGGTGGACTGGAAGAACAAGATGCGGTAGACGTGCGTTTATGGTGTGGGTGTGTGGGTGTGTGGGCGCGTGTGGGCGCACATACACTGAGAATATGGCTTTGCGATTACGGTTATGCTTATATGTATGTGCGCGCACGACTCCATTCCTCGGCTTATCTGTCAAAATCCAATGTTTTTTTAATTGACAAGCGCTAATCACAGACAGGCATTTTTGACTCTTCGCGAGGATAGAAAGGAAGAAAGGGCCTTCGCGCAATTAAAATGGAAATGTACTGCATGCTATGAGGAAAAGTAACACCAGACAGATAGGCACGGGAGCGGGGGGATAGGGGGGGGGGAGGACCCTCCTTTCTCCAAGGAATGAATGTTTTAAGGATATTCAGTTTTCTACATAAAAATCATAACGTTTTCTCCCCGCCCGGCGCCCTCCAGCCTCCCCTCGCCGACAATCTATATAAATAAGGGAATATGAGGGTTTTATTTTGTACTTAAAGCTTTCGGAAACGTATAATAATATCAGTCATAAAACTATCCCATCAGTAGGGCTTGTAGGACTCGCACTGACGAAATATAATAAAGTTTAACGACCAATTTGGAAATAAATGTTTGAATCAAAAATTACGTTTATGAGCCTCGTTCGTGTCTACGTATAATATTATATATATATATATATAATATATATATATATATAATATATATATATATATATATATATATATATATATATATATATATGCAAGGCACATATATATACATATTACGTGATATATGTGATTATTATGTATGTATGTATTGTTGGGTGTGATGAAATGTTGATACCTCGTGTTATTTTTGTATATTTTCAATAACTTTGCAATGTTGCTCTTTGAAATCTTAATGGATGGCACCGAACCAGAGGCTAACACGGAAAAGAGAGTTTTCATATTTTTACTGCCTTTACGCTTTCAACGGCCGTGGAGGAGGAAAAAAATTGAATAAATAACCAAATATCTAATGGAAATAGACAACGAACTGGCACCCTGCGTTTATGACCATATCCGCTGTGAAGAATTTTTTCATTATGCATAAATGTACGTCATTATTCATCCGTAGCTGATGTGTAATGTAATGTGTGTTGGGAAGGGAGGGGGGGGTAGGGGAAAGGGCAAGGGGCGGAGGAGAGGGAGGAGGGGGAGAGGAGGAGGAGGGGGAGAGGGAGAGAGGAGGGGAGGGAGGGAAACAGGAGGAGAGGGTAGAGGGAGGAGAAGGTGGGGGAGGAGGAAGAGGAGAAGGAGAGGGGTTGAGGAGGACGGGGAGAGAGTAGAGAGGGAAGGGGAAAAGAGGAGGAAGAGGAGGGTGAGAAAGGGGAAAGCAGGAGGGGGGGGGGACATGAGAGAGAAAAACAGAGGGGAGTGGATGGGAGTCAGGGGTTGGATGGTGGGGGGGGGGTTGAGAAAATATTGTTCAAACCTCGTTACAACGGCAATTTGGCCTCGTTCGCTTAAACGACCAGCTATCAAACGAGTAGACAGGACGTGTTACCATATATCCGTGCACCGCCGATTATTATGGATCGTAGGCCTATAGCAACGTGTGTGCGTACCTGCGATAGCCTAGGGGGGGGCGGGATAGGCGCGGGATAGGCCCTAGGAGAGGCGGGATAGGGGGGGGGATGACCATAACAGCACACCCCTTCCCCCTATCCTCCCCCCCCCTCCTGTGCGGTCGGGGTAACGAGAGTTCTACCACGTTGTATGGGTGTGTCAGGCGCGGTGCGGGGTGCGGGGTGGCGGGGTGGGTGGGGGGGAGGGGGAGGTTCCGCCTGGGATTGTAATTAGATAATATTTTTAATGGTATTTTTGCGTGGCAGATGGTTAGGGATTATGGTTGATTTAGCTCGGTTGATATATTTTTCAAGTGGACATGAAAATGGTTTAATGGCATGATCCCAGTTGTGGGGATTATCTCGATTGTTGCATCTCACTTTTTCAACTTTTTTCCCTCTTTGGGTGTCTGATTTATTGGCCTTTTTTGTATTATTTTCTTTCTTTCGATCTATCACTGTTTCTCGCCCTATCTGTTTTCTCTCTCCCTCCCTCCCCCCTCCCCCTTACCCCCTCTCCCTCCTTTCCCCCTCCCCCTTTCCCCCTCTCTCTCCTTCCTGTCTTTATTTTTATTCCCACTTTTATTTTCTCTCTCCCTACCTCGTTTTCCCATTTTTATCCGATTGGTGTTTCGAATTTGGACCAGGATGTCATTTATCGCTGTTTGGTGACGATGGCTTTTGGGTAAATATTAATTTATTAAATATTTTTTCACTAGCCGTTTCTTCTCACTGTATAGTATGGTGCTCTGAAGCAGTATGGTGCGAGGTATGGTGCTCTGAAGCAGTATGGTGCGAGGTATGGTGCTGCTGCTCTGAAGCAGTATGGTGTGAGGTATGGTGCTCTGAAGCAGCATGGTGCGAGGTATGATGCTCTGAAGCAGTATGGTGCGAGGTATGGTGCTCTGAAGGTGGTGCGAGGTATGATGCTCTGAAGCAGTATGGTGTGAGGTATGGTGCTCTGAAGCAGCATGGTGCGAGGTATGATGCTCTGAAGCAGTATGGTGCGAGGTATGATGCTCTGAAGCATGCGAGGTATGATGCTCTGAAGCAGTATGGTGTATGGTGCTCTGAAGCAGTATGGTGCGAGGTATGGTGCTCTGAAGCAGTATGGTGTGGTATGTGCTCTGAAGCAGTATGGTGCGAATGGTGCTCCGAAGCAGTATGTGCGAGGTATGGTGCTCCGAAGCAGTATGTGCGAGGTATGCGTATGGTGCTGCAGGTATGGTGCAGGTTATGGTGCTCTGAAGCGGCCTGTGGTGCGCAGTGCCGATGGCTGGCGGCGTTTCCTGCCCTGGTTTGTTTATACGTGCGATCCACCTGTGTCATTTGTACTTTATTTTCATTTCTCAAAGTCATTTATCGTGTTTATGTATTTAGGGTAGATATACAAACAGTAATTACTGTCTCCATCTATAATGCAGGCAATCATTACCGTGCCGTATAAAGAGAAATATGACAACTGCCTCCCTCCCCTCTCCCCTCTCCCCTCTCCGTTCATCCCTCACCCCTTTCCCCACCTCTTCCCCTCCCGCCATTAATGCCGACTCACTGCCACTTCCCACTTCCTTTTTCGCACCCCGCCCCACCTCTCTCTCCCTCTCCCTCTCGCCCCCCCCTTCTCTTCCTCTTTCCCCACCCCCTCTCTCCCTCCATCTCCCTCTTCTCCGTCTCCCTCTTCCTATGCCTATTGTTTCTATTTCTCTTTCCTCCTCTTTCTCCTCCTCCTCTTCCCCCCTCCTCCCCTCCTCCTCCTCCTCCTCCTCCTCCTCCTCCTCCTCCTCCTCCTCCTCCTCCCTCCTCCCCCCCTCTTCTTCCTCCTCCTCCCCCCTCCTCTTCTTCGCTATTGCTCCTCCTTGCCCCTTCCCTCCTTGTTCTCGTCCTCCTTTCTCTTCCTCCTTCCTCCCTCCTCCCTTTCTCCCTCCCTTCCTCCCTTCCTCCCTTTCTCCCCCTCCGCACAATAGAGTATTGCACCTAAACAGATGATGATGAATGATTAGATGTTTGTGATGAATCGCTTATATCATCCGCTCATCAATTTATCCGCGTTCGGGCTTTTGTTGTAATTCCAATTTATTGTTTGATACTTTCGTTTCTCCCTCTGACTGATGGGTTTCGGTGGGGGGGGAGAGGGGGAGGTTGGGAGAGAGAGGGGGTAGGAGGAGGGAGGGAGGGAGAGGGGGTAGGAGGGTTGGGAGGAGAGGGGAAGGGGGGTTGGGAGGGAGAGGGGGGGGTAGGGAGGTTTGGGAGGGAGGAGGGAGGAGAGGGGGTAGGGAGGGAGGTTGGAGGAGAGAGAGGGGGTAGGGAGGAGGTTGGGAGGGAGAGGGGGAGGAGGGAGTTGGGAGGGAGGTAGGAGGAGGTTGGGAGGGAGAGAGGGTAGGAAGGAGGTTGGGAGGAGGTGGGAGGGGAGAGGGGGGTAGGGAGGGAGGGGTGGAGAGGAGGAAGGGAGGGAGGTTGGGAGGGAGAGGGAGGGAGGTTGGAGGGGGGTAGGGAGGGAGGTTGGGTTTGGAGGGAGGGGAGGGAGGTTGGGGGGTGGGAGAGAGGGAGAGAGGAGGTGGGAGGAGAGGGTGAGGAGAGGGGGGTAGGAGGGAAGAGGGAGGGAAGAGAGAGAGGGGGTAGAGGAGAGGTAGGGTGAGGAGGTGGTGTGAGGGAGTGGAAGGGTGGAAGGGAGGTTTGGGAGGAAGGAAGGAGGTTGGGAGGGGGGAGGGAAGGAGGGAAGGGGAGTATAGGATAGGAGGCAGAGACAAAGGGAAGGGTGGCAGGAGGAAGAGGGAGAGCAAGAAGGGGAAGAGGGGGAACGGAGAATGAAGAGGATGGTGCAGGAAACTGGAGAGTGGAAGATAGGAGGGAAGGAAGGAGAAGAGGAGGAGGATGAAAGGGAGGGAGGGAGGAGGAAGAGACAAAGAAAGAGGCAGACAGATAGAGCGACAGGCAAGGATAGAAGTAGAAGCAAAGAGGCAGAGAACGAGGAGGCGGCATAGGTGAAGGAGTAAGATTGAAGAAGAAGAAGGAGGGGTGGGTGGGGGAGATTAGGACGAAGGGAGAGGAGTGAAGGAAAAAAGAAGAGGAGGAGGAGGAAGGAGGAGGAGGAGGAGAGAGGAGGAGGAGGAGGAGAAAAAAATAGGAAAGAGGAATAGGAGGAGGAAGATTCGGAAGAGGAAGAAAAAGATAAGGTAAGGAAGAGAAACAAGATGAGGTAGAGGCGAAGAGAAAGAAGACGAGGAGGAGAGGAGGAGAGGAGGAAAGGGTAGCGAGACAAAAGCAAGAGTGGATAGGGTTGTGTAATGGCGGCAATAGGGGATATTAAATAGGGGGAGATTGAGGTCGACTGGCGACACTGGATTACTTTGGCGGCGCTGCGTTAGAGAAGTGGAAAATAAATAGAAAATAGGAGAGGACATCGGGGCGTGGAATTTGGGCGAGAGAGCGAGAGAGAGAGAGAGAAGAGGAGAGAGAGAGAGAGAGAGAAGAGAGAGGAGAAGAGAGAGAGAGGAGAGAGAGAGAGAGAGAGAGAGAGAGAGAGAGAGAGATAGAGAGAGAGAGAGAGAGAGAGAGAGAGAGAGAGAGAGAGAGAGAGAGAGGATAGGGGAGAGAGAGAGAGGGGAGAGGGAAGGAGGAAAGAGAGAAGAGAGAGAGAAGATAGGGAGAGAGAGACGAGAGGAAGGAGGAGAGAGAAGAAAGAGAAGAGAGAGCGAAAGGGAAAGAAATAAAAAGTGAGGAAGGCGCTTTGCGTATGAAGGAATTGGGCGGATGAGATGAGGAAAGGAAGGGCGAATGAAATTGATGGGTGGAGGGGTGGGGAGGGGGAGGGAGGGGCTTATGCAGGATGGAAATCGGAGACGGCGACTGCAAGTTGTCAGAGGAGCAACTACCATTATCTACTTTCCTTGCCACCTCCTCTACTCGTCTTTCGTCTACCCGTCTACCCTTACCCGCTGTCTTCCAACGCCGAAGGAAAAAAAAAAATGTTTATTATTACGTTTAAGGAAGAGCATTTTGTATATTCGGCTTCGTGGGGGTGAAAACTGTATACGAAAAAAAAAAGTAAGACAACCCTCCAAAAAATATTAGTTTTGTTTTTAATTTGACTGCACATCAGCATGGCAGCTGTCAGTAGGCTGACCTTCTAGCTTGTTTATTTACACCGGCGTTTTTTTTTTTTTGTTTTTTTTTTTCTGAGCGGAAAGGGTATATACGCCTTTTTAGTAGACGATGTTAAGGCAAGGGTGCGTGAGATGCGCAGGTGTTTCTAGCAGGATTAGCGTATAGCAGGTGTTTTTATAAGACAGTGGAATTACGAGGAACAGGTGGCTCACCCAGCTGTGTATGTGGACGAGAGGGAGATTTTTTTTTTAATCAAAATCAGTAATGTCTAGTTTCGCAGGTGCTCGGCGCATCATTGTTGTGTTTTGACAGGTGATAAGTGCACAGGGACACGGAAGATAAGTCCTTTTGACAGGTGTGCATGTGAAAGGCGTGGCGAACAGGTGCATGGCACTGATTGACGTGACCTGCAATTGCTTATACATGTGCAGGTGTAATAAGCAGCTGTCCATTTTTAGGTGCCCTTACATGTACTCGGAACGCCCAAGCATTGTCCTAGAAGCAAGATTTATTCCTGACACAATCGGTCCTCTTCTCCGAGGGAAAGAGCGGGATCGGAAGCCGCGGCCGAGGAAGAGTATGGATGGGGATGAAGAGAGGAGGAGAGGGAGAGAGGCACGCGGGGAGGGAGGAGGGGAGGGAGGGGGAAGAGAGCGGTTTTAGATGTGTGGAGAGAGATAGAGAGGGAAATAGAGAGAGAGAGAGAGGGGAAATAGAGAGAGAGAGAGAGGGAATAGAGAGAGAGAGAGAGGGAAATAGAGAGAGAGAGAGAGGGAATAGAGAGAGAGAGAGAGGGAAATAGAAGAGAGAGAGAGAGGGAGAGAGAGAGAGAGAGGGAAATAGAGAGAGAGAGAGAGGAAATAGAGAGAGAGAGAGAGGGAAATAGAGAGAGAGAGAGAGGGAAATAGAGAGAGAGAGAGAGGAAATAGAGAGAGAGAGAGGAAATAGAGAGAGAGAGAGAGGAAATAGAGAGGAGAGAGAGAGGGAAATAGAGAGAGAGAGAGAGAGGAAATAGAGAGAGGAGAGAGAGAGGGAAAATAGAGAGAGAGAGAGAGGAAAAGAGAGAGAGAGAGAGAGGGAAATAGAGAGAGAGAGAGAGAGGAAATAGAGAGAGAGAGAGAGGGAAATAGAGAGAGAGAGAGAGAGAGAGAGAGAGGAGGAAATAGAGAGAGAGGGGAAAATAGAAATAGAAGAGAGAGAGAGAGGGAGAGAGAGAGAGAGAGAGAGAGAGAGAGGAGAGAGAGAGAGAGAGAGAGAGAGAGAGAGAGAGAGAGAGAGAGGGAAATATATATATATATAGAGAGAGAGAGGGAATAGAGAGAGAGAGAGAGAG